TCTACCATACATGTATGCTTATCACTTTGAAGAGTCAGCAATTTCACTGTAGGCTGAGTCACTTATCATAAATAAGTGACTCCATTTTGATTTATATAGGATTACAAATCATTATTATATAACACAAGCTTATCCAGGTTGATGGCCGAATGTAGTTCCTCAGAAGTTGCAGTAAGCAATGCTACCCTGTTGATACCTTGATTGTGGTCTGGGAAGATCCGTGTTGAACTTATGACCTAAGGGAAGTGTAAGATAACAACTTTGTTTTAATCTGCTAAATTTGTGGTATTTGATCACAGAAATAGGAAACTAATATGGTAATCCAAAAAAAAAGTGTATTTGCTCTTTAATATCAGATAATCCAAATGATCAGAGCAAAGAAAATTGTTAGTGGCAGAGGGGAATATTATATATAGTTATAAACAATAACTCCATCAAGAATACATAACACAGCTTTATTAGTTTGCAATTCTTCTACTTCAACATATGACATGAGTTTTACTAGGCAAAAGTCAATGCATTGACAAGGCTGCATTATTTATTGCAAATTTTAGAGTTGACCCACCAAGAAGATATTTTGCAATATTCATTGTGAATTTACCAAACAACAGAGTTGAAAAATGTGTGAAACAAATACTGATAGGATATAAAGGAGAAAGAGACAAATCCATAATTATGTTTCGTGTGTTCAACATGTTTTTCTTGCAACAAATAATAGAACAACCAAGTACAAAATCAAGAAGGATATAGAAGAACTGTCAACCAGTAAAAATTAATCAAAATGTATAGAGCACTCTAAACAACAGGAGAATGTACATTTTTTTCAAGATTTCCTTTGACATATACCAACATAAACCATATTCTGTAATAGTTAACAAAACAAACCTCAACAAATTGAAAACAGTTACAATAATACACAGTGAGTTCTCTGATAATAATGGAATCAATATTGCAATTGATAACAGAAAGAAAAAAAGAAAAGTGCAAATATTTGGAAACTAAAAACACACTTCTAAATAGTCCATGATTCAAAGAGAAAATTTCAAAAGAAAGAAAAAAAATACATTGAATTCAATTAAAATAAAAATACAACATTTCTGTGAAAGACAAACTGACTTCTTAAAATTAGGTGAAGGCAAGGACACTCACTCTCATCGCTGCTATTTTACATAGAGGTAGAATGTCCAGCCAACACAATAAGGCAAGAAAGGAAATAAAAGACAGAGAGATAATATATGCATAAAGAATATTGTCCCTCTTAGAAGATATCATGATTGTCCCAAAAAAAAAAAAAAAATCCCAGGGGTTCTACAAAACAACTCCTAGATCTAAAGTGGGTGCCACACTGTTGCAGGTTATAAGATAAACATGCAAAAATCAGTTGCAAAAATGCAAACATCATGCAAAAATGCAAATATCAATTGTATTTTGTAACAAATACATGGGAAATAAAATTATCAATGTAATAATGTTGATACTCACTTGAAAAATCCCTGAAATATGTAGGTATACATTTCATAAAACCTATATGGAATTTACATGCTGAAAAGTAAAAAATAATAATGAAAGAACTAAAAGAATATCTAAATAAAGGGGGAGATATAACATGTTTATGGATTAAAAGATTCAACATAGTAATCATATCAATTCTCCTCAGATTGATAAATAAATTTAACACAATTTCTAACAAAATCTTAGCAATAGTTTTTTCTGAGTAGAGATAACTATATCTTAAAATTTATATGGAAAGACAAAGGAACTAGAATAGCTAAGGATATTTTTTTTTATTTAAATAACAGGATTTTATTTTTTAAAATTTTCTGTTCAAAAATAAACTTTTATTAAACTTTTGAAAATAGTTACAATAGTTTACCTTAATAAACAAACATTTACCTTATAACTGAAACAAAAATTTGCTGAGACCACTGAAAATTCCATTTATTTGCGTAATCATCATGCCACAGATATTCCTTCCCTTATCCCCTAATCCCTTTAACTTTTTTTGTAAATTTCAGAATATTATGGGGTTGCAAAAGTTTAGGTTACATATAGGTAAGGATATTTTTGAAAGGAGAATAAAGTGGGAGAATCACTTTACCGGATTCTGAGACTTATTATTTAGCTAAAATAATCAGGACTGAGATATTGGATGCTGGATGGACACATGGATGAATAGAATGGAATAGACACCATAGGAATACCCTCACATAATTATGGACAACAGATTTTCAAGACAGTTGCAAAGGCAATTTAGTGGAGAAAGGATTGATTTTATGACAAATAGTGCTGGAGCAATTGAAAGTTGAGCTAAAGCTAACAGCTTGTACAAAAATAAATTCAAATGGAACATAAGTTTCCAGGTAAAATTGAAAACTATAAAACTTTTTAAATAAAATATAAGAGAAAACGTTGGGCATTTAGGGTTTGATGAAGAATTCTTAGACCTTACAACAAAGGACAATCTTAAAAGAAAACATCGATAAATTAGAATTCATCAAAATATATCTGTGAATAAACCTCTCAAGAGAATGAAAATGCAAGCCATTGACTGTGAGAAAATACTTATATATCACATACTTGATAAAATGTTCATATCTAGACTAGCTAAAGAACTCTGAAACTCAACAGTTAAAAAGCAAACAATTTAAGTAGGAAATGGGCATAAGACGCCATAGGCCTTCTCACAGAAGAGGATTTACAGATAGCAAATAAGCAAATAGAAAGAAGTTCAACTTTACTAGGTATCAGGGAAATGCAAATTAAAGATTATGATGAGATATTATTATAAACCTAATAGAACAACTAAAACAAAAAACAAGAGTAGCAAAACCAAATGTAGTCAGTGATAGAGAGAATCTGGATCAATCTTATGTTCTGGTGGGAATATAAAATGGCACAGAAACTTTGGAAAATAGTTGGAAAATTAAAAATAAACCAAAAAAACTAAACTTGCACTGATTGCATGACCTAGTAATTATACTTCTGGACATTTATCCCAGAAAATAAAAACTTATATCCAAAAAGACCTGTATACAATTATTCAAGGCAGCTTTGTTTATAATAGCCAAAGACTGGAAACAGCCAAGATGTGTTACCATAGGTAAGTGTTTATGCAAACTGTGGGACATTAATACCATGGAATGAAAAGGAACTAGTTATTGATACTTGCAACAACTTGGACAGATCTCAAGGCCATGCTGGTGAGTGAAAAAAAAAATCAATCTCAAAAGTTCACATACTATATGATTCTATTTACATAAAAGTCTCAAAATGTTAAAATTATGCAAATGGAGAACAAATCAGTGGTTGGCCTATATTATTAGGCATGGTTGGGAGGACAAGGTAGGTGTCAATATTAAGGGGTAGCACAAAGGAATCATTCTGAATGTGATTGTAGCAGTGGTCACCACAAATGTACATATGTGATAAAATGGCATAGATACAAACAAATACATTTTACCAATGTCAGTATTCTGGTTTTGATATGGTCCTATATAGTTATATGAGATATTATCAATGGGAGAAATTGAGTGAAAGTTACATGAGAACCTTCTGTACTATTTTTGCATCTTCTCGTGAAGATGAATTACTTGTAGTAATGAGAATCTATGAACATAACCAATGTTAAGTACATGGGGTTATGTTATAAATGCCATCCAAATAAAACAAGCCTACATGACAGTTTAAATTACTCAGGGAATGTATTATATTTGGTATTTATATTTATAAAATAAATCATAAATTACATCTTTTGGTTAACCTAATTGATCTTTCTTTGTATATTTCTAGTTTACTAAGACCCTGATGATTTAAATATTTTAAATCATTCATCAGATAATAAATATGACCAGCCAACCTCAGGCACTTTATAAAAACATTTTTCGTTCTTAATGATCATCAGGATATATATCAGGACACTCCAGTCATTGAAAGCCAATCATTTACACTCAAGCTCAATGTTTAGATTACCTGTGGGATATTTAGTGCTTATTAACATTACTTATTAGGGAATTATCCAGAAATGGAAAACTTTTTGACATTTAGCATCCTAGCATCTGATGCTATTGCCTCGCAAAGTGCTATTTCCTTTTTCATGTATAACATCTAATATTTTTACTTTTAGCATCAACTAAATTTACTCATTCTTACTTTACCTTTACTTTAGATTGTTTTAAGGAAGCTATAATGTTACAGGGAAGCTATAATGTTTTAAGGAAGCTATAATGAACATATAAACTTCAAATTATTTTTTAGTAATATTTCATTCATTTAACTGATATTAAAAATTTAGATCTTGCTTATTGTTTGCCAAATTACACTGAGGATAACCTATTTAAATTTTCCTTGGATGAAGTGGGCACTGGCTTTCCTAAGCCATGGTGGACTACCCCACATGGATTCTAGATATTTAATCTCAAGAGAATATCATCCTTATTTCTCATAAACTCCTTAAAGATGTTGTGTATGAAATTGTTTGTGCACTGTGTTCAACTGCATTGAGACAAGAAAAAGATACCTTCCATCCCTCTCACAGGTGAAAATATTGCTCTGGTTACCCGTGACCCCAAATGAACAGATAACAGTTTTCCACTATATGCTTCTGGGTTTCAATGCTGAAACACACCATTTGAGGGTCTGGTCTCTACTCATCACCTCCTCAGCCTCACCTGGCCCACCATCTACCTTAATGTAAAATTAACTTCCACTGAAAGACTTGAAGTTTTCAAAAGCCAGCAATTGCCATGCTTCAAGGCATAAACACTTGCAAGACTGACTCATGCAGAGTGCCCATCTCAATTTAATTACACCTTCTTTTTACTTGTCCTTTAGGAATTAGAAGATCCTATTGCTATTCCTGTAAGATATAGCCCTATGTTAAAATTCTACGAGTAGGTCCACAGTCTTATTAACCCTAGCATACCTGGTATTACTGAAGTGCTTTGAAAACAGTGGGTGTTCAATGAAAGTTTGGAGAATAAATAAACCAGTAAGCATGGGATAAAATTTATTAAGATTTATTTCTCATACACTATGGAACGAGCTAAGCACATGGATGCAAATATCAGTGAATTTTACAGAAAAAAAAGACTAAAAAGATAATAAACAAGAACTGAATATATTTTAGATCTTTTAAGTTCTAGCTCTCACAGTTGATCCCAACTATTTTAAAGCCAAATTCCTCCATATTTCAGAGGAAATGCCTATAAAAATGCCATGTTATCTTACTCCAGATCACAAAATAAAATGGATGGTTTTACAATGTGTTTTAGAGAAGAGGAGCTCTTACTATTGAACCTCATGAACAGCATTAGATGTGTGATCAAAATCACTTAAGACATGAAGAATTTGAAGATAATTAAAGCTCTATAAAAGAAATAATATTTGCATAGCACAGTAATCAAAAATACAAGAAGAAATGGTGAAGTTACACATACAGAATAGGAACATACAGATGTATGCCCAGCTCCACCCTGGGCCTACATTCCTTGAACACTAACTGCCCTCTTCAAAGGGATGAGGAATCTATCCCTGACTTCACTAGGTTTGGGAGAAGCTGCCAGACGTGGCACTGGAGCTCTCAGTGGCCATGGAAGTAGAGCCAGCCCTAACTGAAATTCTCGCTTGAGCTCTTTCTTCTTCATCTCGCAGAGCCTCCTCATACTGAGAAGGGAAAGAACTTGGGTCAGTTCCATGAACCTTGGCCACAAACTCCAGGACTTTCATCTTTCTGGTTTCAGCATGGGCTCTTGGGCCCCACAGGAATTCATACTGTGCAGGATCACTGTTGGGCACCTGGCGGTACTCCAGGTAGTTTTCCTTCACCAACTCTTTGGTGAAGAACTCCCTGGGCTCTCCAAAGATGAAGTGCTTCCTCCCGGGATATACCCCCATCACATTCAGCATTTCCCAGACTTCCTCTTCAGTGGCACGGTTGCCCTTCATGAAGATCGCACCCAGGATCAGGATCAGGAGGCCGGTCTTGGGCACACCCTCTTCAACACTCAGCATCCCATCATAGGTGAGGCCCAGCTTGATGAAGAGGCCATAGCGGTAGCTGATGGGGTCTACTTCCTTCACATCAAGGCCGAAGACTATTTCCATGCGGTCAGAGGCTCTCAGGAGGATCTCAGGAAAGTGGTCTTCATCATCTTGCATGACAACCTTCAACATCTCTGCCTTTGTTATTGGCTCTTTCATTTGATATTTGAGCAGCATGAAATTCACCAAAAGAGCCACTTTCTCATTGAGAGCATCAGTGGGCATATTTTCGGGGGCTGCCGTAGCTTGTGAGGTGCTTGGACTCTTTTCCTCTTCTTCACTACTAGAGCTCTCATCAGGTATGCTTGATGAGGTGGCTGCGACAGCACTGGCAGGGGAGCAGAAACCCTGAGGACCCTCAGGAGTGCTCAGCATCTTGGCAGCAGGAGCCTCCATCAGGTGGTCTGGCATTAAAGGATTGGGGGAGGAAGGAGAGGTCTCCTCCACAGCCTTGGACACCTGGGCATTTTCCAGGCCCTGGGTCTCACTCTGGGTCTCAATGGGCTGATCCTGTCTGCATTGTGGACTTTCCTGATCCTTAGGCATGTTGTGTCTGGCTGGTGGCAGTAGTCAGGAGTGAGCAGAGGAGGGTGCTCAATGCAGAGTCACTGCCTAAGAGAGAGAGGAAGAAGTGAGTGTCGTCAGTTCTTAAACTCAACTCTAGAGGCTCTGATGGAAGCTGTTGCCAATGGACTTTTCTTGACCACAGTGTCAAAGGGCTTAGAGGTCTCCTGTCATCTTGGTTTCTGTGCCCCCAAGGAACATGATGGAGGAAGTGAGAATCCTCCTCAGGGTACAGCCAGCCAACCCAACACAAGAGTCTCAGGCTCAGAGCAGACAGCTAGTGGTAGGCTCTGGAGAGCCCCTTCTGTTCTGAGGAAGGTAGTGGTATGAATTTATGACCAGAAGTACCACTAACTTTGCATCCAATAGGGCATATGCCACCTCTCCGGAGTTAATATAAGGCTGTCCCCCTCAGACTAAAACCACATCTCCTAAGACCTGACGAGGAAGTGTGCAGGTTCCTGGAGTTTCCCAGGGCTGACAGTAGGAACTAGATTACATGTAAGCCATTGTACTGGTATGGGTTGTCCCCTCAGTTCTTACTCAGGTTCCTTACTTTTAATCCAGGCAGGCCTTGGATTCTTTCTTTTCAAATTAATTTTGCCCCTTTAAACCAAAGCCTCTATCTTTTTGAGACCCCAGAGAAGGAGGTGAGGTGTCACCTCATTTAACAGGTTTATACACACCCTCTCAGGGCTGATAAAAATGTAGAGCTGGACTCTTCATGATCCCCATTCTTCAGGGGTGGGTAGCTCCTTAATTTTCATTTAGCCTCCTTGACTTGGCTAGTGATGGGGTCTTAACTCTATGCAAAGTAATGTCACACCCTCTGCCTTCCTAATACCCCATCTTGCAGAGTTACCTGAGAAGGAAGTGAGGTAGGACACTGTGTATGCACAGACCCGGGAGCCTCACAGTGCAAATAACAAGGGCTAGACACTGTGGAACTCCCTCTGTTCTGGTATAGTTAGACTTTGTGGATCTTAGTCAGGGCCATTACTGTGATTCTTGACAGTCCTGGACTCCTTTGTCTGCTGACCTGATGTGACACAATGGCACAGGGAACAAGGACCTCACATGATCTAAAGACCAAAAAGGGAGAGAGTGGGCAAATTGTCATGTGATCCCTGCTCAGAGGTCCCTGGGGTGATAACGTTATCAGGGCTCCTTGGTGAGCATATATCCTAGGGTGGACTCCTTTCAGTCCTTCTTGATTCTCCAAATCGACTCCTAGTACTTCCTGGGCACCCTATCCACTATTTATGTGATCCTCCCCTCTTCAGATCACCAACACCTCCCTAAGACCCCAGTGTATGATATGAACTGGTGAGAAACCTGTCCATCCTTGTCTGGAGTCTCCCAGGGAGTGACTATAGCGTCAGCATGGGTATTGGGAGGTCCCATCTATACTTAGATGGATGATCAACTTTTTGCTTAATAGTAGTCTTTCCCTCCAATCATGGTAATGCATGAGACTACTTCCCTCTGCAGATATGATGCTGCCTCCTCATGAGAAAGAGTCCTGTTCCTATGGCTACTGAGGGGGAATTGAGGGGGCATCACATCCAACCATTTTCATGTCAACTTTTGGGGATGTGATAGCAGGACAGGGCAATGTTGAGATCACTTTGTTCTGGGGTAAGCATTCCGATGAGCTTCACTTAGGCTGCTTCCCTTGACTAATGCAAGGGTATGAGACTTCATATCACTTCCTCAGACCAAAACCTTTCTCACCCTGAATTCACTTAGCAGAACCTAAGGAAATATCTCAGCTTGACAGCTCTTCTCATGGCTTTGTACAGCTATCAGCAGGGCTAACCAGGGCTATTTTTGGCTCCCATGGGACGGGTGATTTCCTGGGATGTGCCATTCCCTGAGCCCTGACTCAAGGTGCTTACTATGATTACTGGTTGGGCTTTAGTACCAATGTCCTGACAGCTAATGCCCTCCCCACTCCCATCAAAAAAAAGGCTTCAATCCCTGTGATAACCAAGAAGGAAGGGATGAGATATCATTCAGTCTTAACTCTGTGTCTTCACCTCACCTCCCAGCACCTCTTGTGTACCTACCCCTATGTTGACCTGAGGCTGCCACTGAGACCGGCCTATATACTTTTCCGGAACCCTTGAAGATGCAGGGACAGTGAGAAAATTTTTATAATTCTGGCCTTGAGTGTCCAAGGGTTGAATGCAGAGTCATAGTGGAGCTCATGGAGGTCCTAATTGTAGTGGTATGGGTATCTCCTTTATAATCACTCAATGTCTACACCTTGGCTACTGGCATTGTGGCAGACTCATCCCCTCTGATGGCCTGATGGGCCCTCCTTATGCTAAAGATTTACCCCAGGGACTGCCACTGAGGGTATGAGGTGTCCTTCATGTAGATTTCCTGGCTTCCTCAAACTGACAACATTAGTGGACACTGTGGGGTTGTGTTATGGGGTCTACAGATCCATCAAATCTAAGTCATGGCCCTTCCCTTAAATCCTTTAAGCACCCAGTAATGCCCCCTCTGATGACCTTACTTCACTCCCTTGCACTAAGGCCCACACCTCCCTGAAACCAAAATGGATCACATGAAATTGTCTCACCTGGGGATCCCTCCTGCCAGGGGTCTAACAGTGATGACCAAAGGGGAAGAAAAGATTCCCATGGTGACCCTCATGGCTGTTGCAGAACATGTGGTCCTGAAAGTCTTCTCTTTGGGTCCCTACCTTGAAACCTTGCATAGCGAGGGACTTACCCTTGTGACTAACAATAGGGCCTCCTTCCCAGTGAACACCATGGAGGAGTGAGTGGGTGTGTTGTTTGGCTATCTCTGTTTGGGTCTCTCAAGGGAGACCCTCAAAGGCTTTCCTTTGATCAGTGGGTCCACACTCTTATGTGTTGTGTTTTCCTTTCAGACAGAACTCAATGACAACTGTTAGGGCCTGGGCATCCTTTCACTGACCTAATTGATGTACTCAGATAAAATTTTCTGTTTTGAGAACACAGGAGAAAATGAGGGATCTCCTAAGCCTGATATGTCTACAGTGGCTCTCCCAAGGGGTGACAAAAAGGGAAAGGCTTTGTGGATCCCTTCTGTCATCAGTTAGTCCCACAATCCTCACATGAGCTCCTCAGATGGGATACTGGTTAATAAGGTGCTCTCTGCAGGCAGATACGCGATGTTACCTTCTTCCCAGCAGGTTCTCATCTCTATGCGACATTACCGAAAAAAAAGTGAGGACATACGTCATAAACGGGACATCCAGAACTGACAACAAGGCTTACATACTGTGGCATAACTTTTTTCTTGGGATGAGCAGAACGCCAAAATTCACTCAGGGCCTCACCTAGACTACCGTAGGGCCAAAGACTTCCTCCTCAGCAGTCAGGCAGCGCCACTTCCCGCCTCCCCGGTCCGGGACTCCCGGGGCTGACGGGCCGGGGCTCAGTGGACGTGCCACTGTTCTGTGGTGAGTGATCCCTTCAGGACTCACTCAGGGCCCTTTTCTAAAGGACCGGCAGGTCTGGGGCCTCTTACCCCCGCTGCGCAGTAAGGCCTTCACCTCAGTCAGGTCCCCGAGTAGGAGGTGGGGGGCGGGTTCGGCCTCACAGCCCAGCCCGGGGCCTCTCCGGACTCCCTGTGGGGACAGGGCTCTTATCTGTGGGGAATCCCCTGTCCTGAGCCCTCAGTTTTACTGAGAACTTTACCTTGAGAGCTGGAAACAGCTTCGATTCCTCTCCCTTCTGATCTGAGGACGCCCACCTCAGACCAACGTCCTCTCGGCCCTCAGACGCCAGAACAGGAAGTCGGGGGGCGTGGCCTCTGGCGACCGTTGCCTGGGGCCTCCCAACGGCGACGCCAGGGGCAGCAGGCGGGCGCCTCTCTGCACGTGCTTTACTGTCCTGGCGCGGGGTGATGACGATGCTCCCACAGAGTCCTCTCGTGGATTTATGGCCGGCCTCGGATTTCTCCCTCTGCTGAGCTGAGGTTGTGCTCGTGTTTCTGAGAACCCTGCAGAGCAACTTAGCGGTGCCTCAGCTGGCCACCAGCGCCTGGGCCTGTTAGTGGTCAGAGGAGGCACTGTCCGGTTTCCACGTGACTCCTTTACTCTGCGTTGCAGCAGGTTTCCTCAGTCCTCCTTCATGGGGACCCTAATCTTGCCTCCTTTCCCTCTGAGCTAAGGCTTCCTAGGAAATGCCACCTCCTGGGGGATATTTCGACTAATTTATTTACTGCAAGCCTTGCAGAGTTTGGGTTGAGTCTCTGCCCCAGCCTTGAGAGATGGGAAAGTTATGGTGCAAGACAGACAGGGACCAGGACACGTGGTGGGTCATAGAAAAACAGCTTGACTCATACTCTTCACCAGCCACACTTAGCCTCTTTTGAAACTTTTATCCTGCCAATAGTTGTTTTCTACAAAGAATGGTTATTTAGAATGGTTTCATAAGACTCTTTTTTTTTTTGAGATTATCGTCATTGCATATGCAGATGGTCATATTTTCACTGAATATGTTTTCTTTTTATTATTCATTTATTTGTTTTATTATTTTTCTCATGCTGGCTATGTTTTCCAGTTCAGTTTTGGACACTTAAGGTGGTAGTAAATAAATCTGTTTCTTGTTCCTGTTTTTAAGGGATATTGTTCTAACATTTCACATTATGTATTTTTCTGATGATTTTATGAAGTGAAAAATCTCCTTGTAATGTTACTTTACTATAAGTTTTCCCATGAACTAGTCTTCACTTTTTGTTCAAAGGCTATTTCTCTACTTCTAGATATGATTAGATGTGTTTCTTCTCTAGTCTGTTTTAAAAGCATTCTAATAGTAATATCTTCTTTGCATTCTTCTACACATCTTTTTTTAATGTAATTCACTCTATTATGAATTTGTTATCAATTTACTTAGGATATTTGCTTAATTTTGAATAGTCTTGGCCCAAGTGTTCTTTACATGGAGTGCCTTTATTTTTTTTTATCAATAAATGTTAGCTTGTAAAAATATTTTGAGTAATTTCACATATGTTTAGATCATTCAGATGAGTTTGAATAATACCCTCCTTATTTCCTTTTCCTGAGTGTATGCTGCAACTGGCCTCAAACCTAACTAATCCTTGGACTTCCTGAGAATGGCTTGATTTTTAACTGCAGTTTCTCTTTTTGTAGTTCATTTAGTTTTTTCTGTTTTCATAGACCTATTTAGTCATTTATATTTTGCTAAAAATTGGCCTATTTTACTTTTACTTTCAAATTCAAAGGCATGATACTCATTATGATGGTTTATGATACAAATTCTAAAACACATGCAATGTTACAAAGGATAATACAATGAATCTGATATATCTGACACCCCACATATCACCAATAGTTATGGATAGCAGCTTGTCAACAGTAAGACTTTTTTGATGATCGGGTGCTGTGGCTCAAGCCTGTAATCCTAACACAGGGGAGGCCAAAGCGGGAAGGTTGCTGGAACTCAGGAGTTCAGACCAGCCTGAGCAAGAGCAAGACCAAGACCTGTCTTACCAAAAACATGGAAAAGTTAGCCTGGCGCAGTAGTGGGCACCTGTATTCCCAGGCTACTTTGGATATTGAGGTAGGAGGACAGCTGGAGCTCAGGAGTTTGAAGTTGCAGTGAGCTCTGAGGAGGTGACTGCACTCTACCTGGGGCGACAGATTGAGACTCTCTCTCAAAGCAAACAAACTAACAAACAAAAGACCTTTGGCAAAACCAGTACAGAGGTGATTCTGTGTACTTCCGTGAGATCTATGCATTTCCTGTGTATCTCATTTCTAGCTGATCTTGGCAGTATTGAAAATCGTGGCCTTTACTCATTATTTATTAGTGCCTATACAATGGTAATTCTCTCATTGCATCATTCTTTCTCAGTTTATTACCTAAAATTCTACAATAGGTAGAAACCTTTCCATATCAGCCACTTGTTTATCCTGAAATAATGGTACATACTTATATACAGATTTCTTCAGCACCAATATTTTGTACAATATCATTGAACATAATAATTTATTTTTGCTTGTTTTCTTTTAAATTAATAATATTTAAAAAATTGTTTTATAATTTTTTCCCATAAGTAGAGAAAGAAAGACAAAATTACTGACCCCTTCAATCCCTGTGTGCTTTAATCTCCTACTGATGCCTCCTATTGCAGAATCCAGTTGGCATCCATATTTGGGAGAGCCTAGGAATTGAGAGGGAGGCCCTTCATCATAGAGAAAGAACAAGGGAAGTGTGAAGAATGGACCAGAGCACAAATAGATCCAGGACTGCCATACCATGTACAGAGATTAAAGGACAATGATTATTTAAAAATTGCTAAAGAAAAATCGTTCATATAAATATTCATCATTCATTCTTGATAAAAAGATATATATATATTTTAAAAAAAAATTTTTAGAGACAGTGTCTTGCTCTGTTGCTTAGGCTAGTGTGCAATGGCATGATCACAGCTTATTGCAGCCTCAACTCTTGGGCTCTAGTGATCTCCTTGCCTCAGTCCTCTGAGAAACTGGGACTCTAGGCACATGCCACCACATTTGGGTCCTTTTTTTGATATTTTTTTAAGAATTAGGATTTTGCTATGTTGTACAGGCTGCTCTCGAACTCCTGGCCTCATGTGATCTTATCGCCCCAGCCTCCCGAGTAACTGAGATTACAAGCATGAACCAAGACATGCAGCAAAGATATTTTCTTAAACTAGATCAAGGAAATCTAGAAAAAACCTTAGAGTAAGAATTATACTTCATGTGAAAACGCTGAAAAATTTTACATGAAAATTGGGAAGTAGGCAAAGATGCCTGCTAGCACCACTTCTAGTCTTCATTTTAATGAAGATAAGGAAGCAATGGGAAACAGGTAATCAAAGAGATATGAATTGGAAAAAAAGAAACAATGCTACTATCATTAAATGTAAATAGAATGTATATGAGAAAAATCTAAATAAAAATTATCAAAGACCTTTATATTCAGAAAAAAAAAAGAATGCTAGCAGCAATTTGTTTTGCCATTTTATTTTCTGCTCGTATGTTATTTCAGAGCTGATCAAAGGCATCAGTTGCAAAGAATAAAATAAATCACACATCTAAATAAAAAAAAATTATCAGAGCAATTTTAAAACTCATTTTAAAAGTTTGCTCGGTATAAGAGCAATATACAAATATGTAGATTTTTCTGCAGCAGTGTCCCATATGAAGATGAAATTAAATAAAAATAACTTACAGATGATCATGATAAATAATTTATGCTTAAAAATCTATGTAATAGAAAAAGATTAAGAACTCTATGGAAGAAATAAAAAGTTATTTAGAGCAATTACTGAAGATCCAACAAATTGGAGAAACATTACATAATCTTTAGATAGGAGATTCAATATTGTAAACATGTTTATTCTCCCCAAATTTAATCTACTCTAATCCATACCCCACAATAAAGTCATATAGGTTTTGTTTGTGAATGTTTGTGTATATGTCCACAATATGTTTGTGTATATTGACAAGCTGATTCTTTTTTTTTTTTTTGAGACAGAGTCTGCCTCTTTTGCATGGGCTAGAGTGCCATGGTATCAGCCTAGCTTACAGCAACATCAAACTCCTGGGCTCAAGCAATCCTCCTGTCTCAGCCTCCCAAGTAGCTGGGACTACAGGCATGCACCACCATGCCTGGCTAATTTTTCTATATAGTTTTAGTTGGCCAATTAATTTCTATCTATTTTTAGTGGATATAGGGTATCGCTCTTGCAAGACCACCATGCCTGGATAAATTTTTGTTTCTATTTTTAGCTGCTCAGCTAATATTTTTTCTGTTTTTAGTTGAGACAACTTCTTACTCTTGCTCAGGCTGGTCTGGAATTCCTGACTTCAACAATGTTCCCACCTCAGCCTCCCAGAGTGCTAGGATTACAGGTGTGAGCAACTGCACCCAGCCAACAAGCTGATTCTAACATATAAATACACTTACAAATGTCTAAGAATAGCCAATATACTCCTGAGAAAGAAAAAAGAAGGTATGATATTAAGAATTGTTAAAGCACTGTAGTAAATAAGAGTATGTAGTAAAGATGCAGGAATAGGCAAATAGACCAAAGAAATTTGAATAGAGTATTACATAACGTATCTATTATACAGTGTCTCCTGTTTTATAAAAAATATGCTAGTGCAGGGAAATGGGAGAAGGAACAGTGCTTTCATTAAGAAATGACAGTGGAACAATTGGATATACATATTGAAAATGAAATGTGACTGAAATCCTCCTACACACTTAACAAAAAAATCAGTTCCAGGTGGATTAGAAACCAATTATTAAATTTTTTACTCTAAAAATTTTCATACTTCCATAGCAGAAGGAAATATCACATTAACAGAAAAAATGAGAAACTCATACCTAAGTTTTTGAACTCGTTTATGAAAGTTAGTGTTCAGTTATGAATGATACCCAATTAGACAAATTATGTCTATAAAAAAACTATAGTAAATATCATACTTAACATAGAAACATTGAAAGTTTTACATTAAAATTGGGAAGAAGACAAAATAAAATAGTTTCACCATTTCTGGTCAATATTTTAATATAGATACTACATAGAGAAGTAATGGGAAACAAAAGAAATCTAACGAATTATTCTTGGAAAAGAAGAAATCAAACCAGTATCATTAACAGAGGATTGGAATTTATGAGGAAATCCTACTAATGATAAACTATTAAATCAACAAATGTGTTTTAAAGGTTGCTGGTTGTGAGATTAAAATGCAAAAATAAATTTTGTGTCTGGGGTAATAGTACAGAATGAAGTTAAATAAA